TCGTTGGCTTTCTCTACGCCATTCGCAGGGGCTTTTGGGGATCCTGCTGGGGCAGCTGATGGGTGACCCTCCACTACTCACTGTGGTGGGCATGGCAGGGTTGCTGGCTGATTCGTTTCTCGCCACTTGGGATAATGCAGCCCATCAGTACGGGGGTAGGGGAAGTATTTCAGGCAGCTGGGAAGAAGCTGGGAAGTAGGGCTAGATGTGAGACCTGGGCTGGGAATGCAGTGAGTTAGGCAGGACTTAGTAATGGGATGTGGTAGTGAGAAGGCCCCTGTGATTTCAGTTGGCACCTGCACAAGAGTCCTGTGATGGAGCAAGAGGTGAGATGTCCTTTGTGTAAGGGACTGGTCTCTGCATCCTGTTCCAGGCACTTGCCCCCGGAAAGGTACCAAGAAAGTAGAACAGATTCTGAGAACAGCAACCAAAGTGCTGGTGAGGGAGGGAAGTGAGGCACTAGGCACCCTGAGTCTGGCTGGGTGGTGAGCAACAGGCCACCTAAAACCTGCCAGTAGATATTTGAGGTAATCTAAATATTCAGACCCCAGTAGGGAATTCACTCCTGCCCTGTACCTTATTTTTGCTGGCTTAACCAACAAAACCAGCCTCCCTGGAGAATGCCACCGGCTCCAGCAGCAGCGGTGCCCAGATTGGGCTGCAAGGGACCCTCCATGGGCTGAGAATCTTTCTTAAGGCAAGCTAGAAGTGCTCCCATTTCACACATTGCCAGGAAGTCAGGTGAGGTGACAGCTGCCTGGGATTGGCTCTTCTCAACAGCAAAGTGGCAATTAGTCAGCAGCTGTCAGAGCTCCCCATTCCAGTTCAGATGGATGCCTTGAGGTTCCTGCTGCTGCTAATGCACTGCAGAATTGCTGCTGCTGCCGCCGCCACCCAAGGTAACAGCCCTCATGAGTTTTCTGTGCCTGCCTGATTTTGCTAGGTCTGGAGGAAGCGTTCCTCCTTCCAAGGGAAGATTTGCCATAGCTTGGTTTCTACTTGACTTCCAAACTAAACTTGGCTTGCTCACGTCTCTTTAAACGAGCTGCAAGATGTGAACAGACCCAGGGCTTCTGGGGCAGCACATGACTGGCTCTCCTGGCATTCATGAAGTTGATTTTTGTCAGCCCACTGATGGGATTGTGTTGAGGCCAACCCTGCCTTGAGGCGCAGGCAGAAAGCATTGGGTGAGGCACAGGATGAGTGAGCTCTCAGCCCTGCCTCTGTTACTGCAAAATCATGGCAAACTTAGAAAAGGCACCTTCTTTACATGTTAGTTTAGCACCCCCAGACAGCCCCGTGACAGATGAGTGGGCAATGGCTCCTGTGTGCAGCAAGTGGGGGTTGGTGGCTCGGGCAGCTGGTTATGTCAGAAGGTGAGTGTGTCTGCATGTTTCTTTTTCACTGGGCAATAGATGAGAATTGTATTAAAACCCCAGGAAAATGGGATTAAAAAAAATAATAATAAATGTAGGTTGTTCCATTAGACTGCAAACTAATAGTGTTCCTTTAATTGTGTTGGATTTAGGCACTACTTGTTGGCTCCAGCTGATAAGACATGGACTCTGCCCTGAGGAACATGCAGTCCAAGTGCAATCCTAGCTCAAGGGAAGAGAGTTAAGATGGGGGGAGGGCTGGCAAGAAGTAGGGCTGTGTGTGGTTATAGGACTGCTTTGAATTGCTGTGGCCTCACTGGGAGTGTTTCTTAGTGGCTAGTGTGGCAGCTGGGCCTTCAAAGGAGTCAGCGCTCCTGGTACTAAAATTCTGCCCTTCCAAGTGTGCAGCCCCTGGGGGAGGCAGAAGCTGACCAACAGCACACTCAGCTGCACACTCTGCACTGCAGCTGCAGTGAGGAACAGAATGCACATCCCCCCAACTTGCATCAACATGGAACCCAGACACGCAGGTTTCTCAGCAAGAGCCGGCTCCTCGTGCCCACGAAGCACTCTGCCTTATCCTACCCTGCTGCTGCACAGGCTCACTGAAAGGGAGTCATCTGTCCCCCTCCCCCAGCAAATCTGAGCAGGACAGGACAGAAATTTGCCCTGAGCAGCCACTTTCCAAACTATGTCACGGTGTCATCTCCCACTGATACTTCTCTTAGAAGAGACAGGTAATAGTCGTGGGGGATTCAATTATTAGAAACAGATAGTTGGGTTTGTGATGACCAGGAGAACCACCTGATAAATTCCTTGCTGGATACAAAGTTTGCAGATTTCTTGAGATACCAAGATAGACTTCTGTGCAGTGCTGGGGAGGAGCTGGCGGTCATGGTAAATGTAGGTACCAGTGACCCAAGGAAAGGTAGGAGAATGGTCCTGGTGGTCAAAATCTGGCTCCTAGGAAAGAGACTGAAGATTGACTTCCATAGTCATGTTCTCTGAAAGGCTCCCAGGGCCACTCAGGACCAGTGAGACAGGCAGCACTACAGGAGCTCAGTGCGTGGGTGAGTTGGAGCCCTGTGCAGGACCTAACCGTGTCCCCGCCAGCACGTTTACGGCTCTGCTGCTGGGGTGCTGCCAGGGTGGCCGTGCCAGCTGAACAGAGCAGTGGGACTGAGCCCTGTCTCCCGCGTGCTGGTGCAGATGAGCTCACCGGGTCTGCGTGGCCTGAGAAGAAAGCCCTAAGGAAAACCCCATCCTCCCTGGGTCTGCCACCTGCAGTGGGCTTGTTCCAAAGCAGCTCAGCAAAGCCTCTTGGCATGTTCCCTTCCGGCACTCTGCCTGTGTCTCCACTACACGGCTCTTCCAAAAAAAGAAGTGGAAAAAGCTGGGCAAATTACAAACTGCAATTTGCAGAGCTTTTTCTGGAAGAGGCTTTTCTGACATTTGGCCCATCTACACCGGGCCAAATGTTGGAAAAAACCCTTTTTTGGAACCTCCCTTCTTCCTTGTAAAATGAGGTTTACAGGGATGCCGAAAAAGTGCATCTGCTCTTCCCACCTGCACAAGAGTCCTGTGATGGAGCAAGAGGTGAGATGTCCTTTGTGTAAGGGACTGGTCTCTGCATCCTGTTCCAGGCACTTGCCCCCGGAAAGGTACCAAGAAAGTAGAACAGATTCTGAGAACAGCAACCAAAGTGCTGGTGAGGGAGGGAAGTGAGGCACTAGGCACCCTGAGTCTGGCTGGGTGGTGAGCAACAGGCCACCTAAAACCTGCCAGTAGATATTTGAGGTAATCTAAATATTCAGACCCCAGTAGGGAATTCACTCCTGCCCTGTACCTTATTTTTGCTGGCTTAACCAACAAAACCAGCCTCCCTGGAGAATGCCACCGGCTCCAGCAGCAGCGGTGCCCAGATTGGGCTGCAAGGGACCCTCCATGGGCTGAGAATCTTTCTTAAGGCAAGCTAGAAGTGCTCCCATTTCACACATTGCCAGGAAGTCAGGTGAGGTGACAGCTGCCTGGGATTGGCTCTTCTCAACAGCAAAGTGGCAATTAGTCAGCAGCTGTCAGAGCTCCCCATTCCAGTTCAGATGGATGCCTTGAGGTTCCTGCTGCTGCTAATGCACTGCAGAATTGCTGCTGCTGCCGCCGCCACCCAAGGTAACAGCCCTCATGAGTTTTCTGTGCCTGCCTGATTTTGCTAGGTCTGGAGGAAGCGTTCCTCCTTCCAAGGGAAGATTTGCCATAGCTTGGTTTCTACTTGACTTCCAAACTAAACTTGGCTTGCTCACGTCTCTTTAAACGAGCTGCAAGATGTGAACAGACCCAGGGCTTCTGGGGCAGCACATGACTGGCTCTCCTGGCATTCATGAAGTTGATTTTTGTCAGCCCACTGATGGGATTGTGTTGAGGCCAACCCTGCCTTGAGGCGCAGGCAGAAAGCATTGGGTGAGGCACAGGATGAGTGAGCTCTCAGCCCTGCCTCTGTTACTGCAAAATCATGGCAAACTTAGAAAAGGCACCTTCTTTACATGTTAGTTTAGCACCCCCAGACAGCCCCGTGACAGATGAGTGGGCAATGGCTCCTGTGTGCAGCAAGTGGGGGTTGGTGGCTCGGGCAGCTGGTTATGTCAGAAGGTGAGTGTGTCTGCATGTTTCTTTTTCACTGGGCAATAGATGAGAATTGTATTAAAACCCCAGGAAAATGGGATTAAAAAAAATAATAATAAATGTAGGTTGTTCCATTAGACTGCAAACTAATAGTGTTCCTTTAATTGTGTTGGATTTAGGCACTACTTGTTGGCTCCAGCTGATAAGACATGGACTCTGCCCTGAGGAACATGCAGTCCAAGTGCAATCCTAGCTCAAGGGAAGAGAGTTAAGATGGGGGGAGGGCTGGCAAGAAGTAGGGCTGTGTGTGGTTATAGGACTGCTTTGAATTGCTGTGGCCTCACTGGGAGTGTTTCTTAGTGGCTAGTGTGGCAGCTGGGCCTTCAAAGGAGTCAGCGCTCCTGGTACTAAAATTCTGCCCTTCCAAGTGTGCAGCCCCTGGGGGAGGCAGAAGCTGACCAACAGCACACTCAGCTGCACACTCTGCACTGCAGCTGCAGTGAGGAACAGAATGCACATCCCCCCAACTTGCATCAACATGGAACCCAGACACGCAGGTTTCTCAGCAAGAGCCGGCTCCTCGTGCCCACGAAGCACTCTGCCTTATCCTACCCTGCTGCTGCACAGGCTCACTGAAAGGGAGTCATCTGTCCCCCTCCCCCAGCAAATCTGAGCAGGACAGGACAGAAATTTGCCCTGAGCAGCCACTTTCCAAACTATGTCACGGTGTCATCTCCCACTGATACTTCTCTTAGAAGAGACAGGTAATAGTCGTGGGGGATTCAATTATTAGAAACAGATAGTTGGGTTTGTGATGACCAGGAGAACCACCTGATAAATTCCTTGCTGGATACAAAGTTTGCAGATTTCTTGAGATACCAAGATAGACTTCTGTGCAGTGCTGGGGAGGAGCTGGCGGTCATGGTAAATGTAGGTACCAGTGACCCAAGGAAAGGTAGGAGAATGGTCCTGGTGGTCAAAATCTGGCTCCTAGGAAAGAGACTGAAGATTGACTTCCATAGTCATGTTCTCTGAAAGGCTCCCAGGGCCACTCAGGACCAGTGAGACAGGCAGCACTACAGGAGCTCAGTGCGTGGGTGAGTTGGAGCCCTGTGCAGGACCTAACCGTGTCCCCGCCAGCACGTTTACGGCTCTGCTGCTGGGGTGCTGCCAGGGTGGCCGTGCCAGCTGAACAGAGCAGTGGGACTGAGCCCTGTCTCCCGCGTGCTGGTGCAGATGAGCTCACCGGGTCTGCGTGGCCTGAGAAGAAAGCCCTAAGGAAAACCCCATCCTCCCTGGGTCTGCCACCTGCAGTGGGCTTGTTCCAAAGCAGCTCAGCAAAGCCTCTTGGCATGTTCCCTTCCGGCACTCTGCCTGTGTCTCCACTACACGGCTCTTCCAAAAAAAGAAGTGGAAAAAGCTGGGCAAATTACAAACTGCAATTTGCAGAGCTTTTTCTGGAAGAGGCTTTTCTGACATTTGGCCCATCTACACCGGGCCAAATGTTGGAAAAAACCCTTTTTTGGAACCTCCCTTCTTCCTTGTAAAATGAGGTTTACAGGGATGCCGAAAAAGTGCATCTGCTCTTCCAAAAAAAATATTTCTCAAGAGTTTTTCTGGGATACCTCCTGCATAGCTTTGCCAAGCAACACCAGGGAAGATGCCTGCAGAGAACCATTTCTGTGCCCTAGCTCCTGGGGAGCAACCCCCATCTCTCCCACTTCCAGACTGCTCAGGTCAGGAAGGCTCCTGACTTTGACCCCTGCTGGGATTTGGCTACCCAGAACCCACCTACTGCTCTCTGGCTTGGCAAGGGTGGCAGAGTGCTGGGGGCTGCTTTTGGAAATGGTCCCACTGATAATCATGTTTTATCATTTGCCTGAATGTAGTATGGGGTCTTCTGGTGGAGACAGGGCCATCCAGAGGAACCCCCAGGCAACCCTCCCCCCCCCACACACACACTGCAGGCCCCCACAAGTACGCAGGGGCAAAATCATAGAATCCTAGGGTGGGAAGAGACCTCAGGAGCCATCAAGTCCAGCCCCCTGCCCAAAGCAGGATCAACCCCAACTAAACCATCCCAGCCAGGGCTGTGTCAAGCTGAGACGTAAAAACCTCTAGGGATGGAGGTGGTGTTGGAAAGAAGTGGAAAAGACTGATATGGAAAAAGTTATTTACTTATTCCCACAATATAAGAACTAGGGGTCACCAAATGAAATTAATAGGCAGCAGGTTTAAAGCAAACAAAAGGAAGTTTTTCTTCACTCAGTGCACAGTCAATCTGTGGAACTCCTTGCCAGAGGATGTGGTGAAGGCCAGGACTATTAACAGGGTTCAAAAAAGAGCTAGATAGATTCATGGAGGTTAGGTCCATCAACAGCTATTAGCCAGGATGGGTAGGAATGGTGTCCCTAGCCTCTGTCTGTCTGGAAATAGATGACAGGGGAGGGATCATGTGAGGATTACCTGTTGTGCTCTCTCCCTCTGGGGCATCTGGCATTGGCCACTGTCGGCAGACAGGATACTGGGCTGGATGGACCTTTGGTCTGACCCAGTCTCGCCATTCTTGTGGAGATTCCACCACCTCCCTAGGGAACCCATTCCAGTGCTTCACCACCCTCTTAGGGAAATAGTTTTTCCTAATATCCAGCCTAGACCTTCCCCACTGCAACTTGAGACCATTGCTCCTCGTTCCGTCATGTCACGACTGAGAACAGCCTCTTTATGACACTCTGGACCCTACCCCTGCCGTCCAGCCTATCTACCTCTCCCCCTAGCTTAGTGTCATACGCAAACCTGCTGAGGGTGCAATCCATCCCCTCATCCAGGTCATTAATAAAGATGTTGAACAAAACCAGTCCTAGAACCGATCCTTGGGCCACCCTGCTTGAAACTGACCATCAGCCATTGATCACTACCCATTGAGCCTGATAATCTAGCCATCTTTCTATCCACATTACAGTCCATTTATCCAATCCATACTTCCTTAGCTTGCTGGCAAAAATACTGAGAAAGACCATATCAAAAGCTTTGCTAAAATCAAGGGCTACGTCTAGACTGGCATGATTTTTCCGGAAATGTTTTTAATGGAAAAGTTTTCTGTTAAAAGCATTTTCAGAAAAGAGCCTCTAGATTGGCACGGACGCTTTTCCGCAAAAGCACTTTTTGTGGAAAAGTGTCCGTGGCCAATCTAGACGCGCTTTTCCGCAAAAAAGCCCTAATCACCATTTTCGCGATCGGGGCTTTTTTGCGGAAAACAATTCTGAGCTGTCTACACTGGCCCTTTTGCGCAAAACTTTTGTGCAAAAGGGACTTTTGCCCGAACGGGAGCAGCGTAGTATTTCCGCAAAAAGCACTGATTTCTCACAGGAGGAAGTCATTGCTTTTGCGGAAATTCAAGCGGCCAGTGTAGACAGCTGGCAAGCTTTTCCGGAAAAGCGGCTGATTTTCCAGAAAAACTGGCCAGTCTAGACACAGCCAAGGTGTATCACATCCACCGACTTCCCCATGTCCACAGAGCCTGTTACCTCATCACAGAAAGCAATCTGATTGGTCAGGCAGGACTTGCCCTTGGTGAATCCATGTTGACTATTCCCAATCACTTTCTTCTTTCCCAAGTGCTGCAAAAAGGCAGGGGGGTCTGGGCCCACCCTCACTCCCGGACCCCAGCCCAGGGCCCTGAGGACAGGAGAGTGGCCACTGGCTCAGCTGGGGGGGT